TGGCCTCACCACTGGGCTCAATCCTAGCCGACATTTTCATGAGTAAACTTAGAAATGGTCCCTTAAAGGCTAGCTAGTATTACTGCCGATATGGAGACGACGTCTTCGCCGTTGTTAACAATAAAGCCGAATTGGAATTGCTCCAACAACAGTTCAATAGGGCCCACACTGACATTCAATTAACTTCGGAAGGAGAAACCGACAACTTTTCCCGCTTCCTAGATGTTGGCCTTGAACAACATCACGATGGTACACAAACGATCGGTGTACCGAAAACCTACTTGGTCCGGGCAATACAGTAACTTTAACAGCTTCGTGCCACTAGAGCAGAAACGGAACCTGATCCGCAGCCTAACTAAAAGGGCGAAGAAAATATGCTCTGAGGATGCACTGGAACAAGAATTCCGAACTCTCACAAACGTCCTGAGAGACAATGGATTACAAAGTATTTGAACAGGGAAGAAGCGAAAACCATCACAACCACAGCTGGAAGGGAACCAGTTTACATTGGCCTCCCGTTTAAGGGAGATATACCGACCATTCTACTGAACAGAAGACTTTCCACCAGTCTGAACAAAGTTTTCCCGGACGCAACACTCCGAACCTGGTTCACCAGCAATCGTTTGTGCTCCTTTATTCTCAAGGATAGAGTGCCTATCCACGCCCAAAATATGTTAGTATACTCACCCCAACTGCGCACTGATGATATCTACTCGTATAGTGACAAAACGTTTGCAAGCCAATTTCCATGCTGGGCGAACAGATCAACAGACTCCTGATCAACAACAAACAATCTCTTGTTGTTGTGCAGTGGCACACATCGGATGCACGACCAGGCAACTCGGCCGAAGAATGAAGGAACACAGTCCACACTGGTTAGCTTCTGGAACTAGGAAGACGATAACCAGCTCCGTAGTACAATATTTAGCTGACACTATACACAACTTGATACTCAGCCAAAGTTTCCGCGTTGTTTACAAGGCACAGGCTAATCAACCCAGGTCAGTATAGCGGCGCACAATTGCAGTGGCTGAAGCCACCGCCATACGACATAGTGACCCAATCCTTTGTTGGCAAAAACGCTTTCTTCGTTTGTTGTACTTACCATGGTCCAACTGATCTCCCCTCACACGCACCTCGTACTGAACACACAACTACAGCAACCCCCGCGCTCACTAACTGAAGTCATCCAATTGGTGACGTGAACTAATTGTTCTTTGATAGGTAGCCAATGTCGTCTCACTCGATTTCTTGTGCATTTACACCATACTCATTCATACATGTCAAATACTGCCCTTTTAACCTTTGCAATTGTACGACTTGAAAAGACCTTACCGAAAACATGTTTGTCAACACATCTGTGTTCTTATGTAGGTACAAATTTAGCACATTTACATGTTGGCGCATAAATAGTTGCTCCAGCTTTGTTACTGAAATGATCCTGCATTTTGCAACGGAAAGCTTTATAAACTTTCAGTGCAAGCACTGCAGTAACGGGGATTTCAACTTCAAGCCTTTACAAATCTAGCCCAGAAGGATCTTTATCTTTTACGTGAAGATGCTTCCTGTAAAAAGGGCTGCCGTTATCTCCACCTTTTTTGAACTTCAAATATTTCACATGGGATTTATACAACAGTCAGACACAGACGGATTTTGTGTGGTCTTAACTGTAGGCCACTAAGTAGGCAGAGGCTAACGCTGCATGAAATAAGGCACAATTCTTGGTAAACAGTCTCTCAATCAGAAACAAGTAGTGTCGTGGAACGCCTTGTCTTATTGAGCTGCTTTCGACAAAAGTTTCATTTGAGATGCGGAAACTTCCCATGGAGCAAAAAATGTCGCAAGGCAAACATGAACCCTCTGTGAACCCGCTCAACTGACGTGAGGCTGGTTTATGTTCGGTAGGCTCAGCAAACAACGGGTTTTACTACGTGCGAAAAAATTAGATTGGCTGTACGAAAGCTCTTTTCCACCCCTTTAAATTTAGCTATAAACACCACTATAACCCTAGTGGGCATTTTTCAAAGTATGCAAACTAGTTGCACAAAAACATATGATATTCCAATACCCACCGAAAGATAACTAAGTAAAACCATTTAGTGTATTCGCGTACATCTTGTCTGTATATGTTTGGGGGTTTTTAACCGGACTGTCTCCTTTTTATCGTGTTCGCTGGTGTAATGATAAATTTTGTTGGTTGTTGATCAGATGGCTGTTGATCTGTTCGCCGAGGCAGGCAATTGGCTTGCAAACGTTTTGTCACCCTACGAGGAGACATCATCAGTGCGCAGTTGGGTGGGTACTTCTTCCTTGGTTGCGTGTGTTTGTATAGCAGTCAAAGGCTATCTGTTATCTTCTGACGTGATTGGCTACCTGAAGTGTAACGAGTTGAGTGCATTTATGGGTCCGTTTGTGATCTTTGTTGCGTTGTGGTCTGTGTTCCTTTGTGTTGATTGTTTATCCCACGCCTCCATAAATGCGCGTGGTACTCCACCGAAGAAGCCATCAACCAACACATCGAAAGTGATCCCATTTACCAGCCACTAAGAGCGAGAGAACGCCAGAACCACAGAACGTAGAGCTGCAAAAGCGACCATACGAGGAACTCATACAAGAAGCAAGAAAGCGTCATTCAAACGGACAAATCAATTGGATTGGAGGAGGCGCCCAATCAAAGCACCAAATCAACTGGCGGACTCAGGGACACTAACCGCCACGGTGGAGGAAATAGGGTGGTACAAGCAACCAATCTAACTCGAGAACGGCAGACCACAACTCAATGCGAATCAAGGTCAGAGAGAACAAGCTAATAAAATTAGAAGCCGTTGGGATAGCCTTTGACTGCTATATAAACACACGCAACCAAGGAAAAAGTACCCACCCAACTGCGCACTGATGATGTCTCCTCGTAGGGTGACAAAACGTTTGCAAGCCAATTGCCAAGCTCGGCGAACAGATCAATAGCCATTTGATCACCAACCAATAAACTCACTCGAGCTATCAATATTTCACCACATTACCGATAACTTTTGTTGTGAGCGCGCCTCAACGACCAACTCAAAATGCCTAAATGTCGGTCAGTTTATTCAGCTGCGTAAGACCGGCTGAAATTTGGATGAACTTCGCTCCGAGAAGTTTGGTTTTATAACGGGCTGTAAAAAATAATTGTGTAATTTTTTATGTTCAAAGAACATACTGGGCCTGATGCAAAAAATTAAAATGTTAATCTTAATAAAGTAAGTGTCCACATCAGATGAGTGAGGCCTTCTGTAATCAAGTAGTGTAAATAAAGTACTTTCTTCTAAACGACTGTTTGTTTGTCTTAGCATTAATTCACGCATAGTCGGATATGACTACATCTGAACACTTGTTATTTTGTAACTGAAGCAAACCAGCCAGCAATCTAACGCTGAGTGAACCAGAAGTATCAGGTACAAAATTATGAGCCAATCATTACTCCAACAGTTTGCGCGGCTTCCCTAAGTGTTCAAGAACCAACCCATCAATTGTTCCCATTTTGAACGTCCGAGAGCGGTTTATCTGTACTTCTTACTTGGTGGCGTCATGCACCTGCAAGTTTTATTGTGGACTGGGATAGTTCGAATCAATCGAACATGTGCACCCCTGAAAATATTTCTAAAGACTGAGGCTCTATAAAATAACCACAGACAAATGTATACACACTCAACTAATCAAGCTGGAACGGGGGAATTTTTGTCCGCACAGGAGAGATAGATCTCCTAACAACTTGAAGAAAATACATTGCGGTTGAACAAACCTATTGTGATGACAATGCGGAACTGAAATTATGTTGTCCAGTGTTGTTTCAGTCTTTTTATCATATAATGTATCGTAGCTTTAACGTTCTTCCAGACTGGAAGCTTTATTGACCAAATCTCCTGATTTCTGCAGAAGGCTGTTTATGTTCTTTTTAAGAGTTGTGCCTAATCAGGAAGCTTGTGGTTCCTGATCCATTAAGTTATCAATGCGGAACCAGGCGTTCGATTTGGCTTTCTTTTCTAGGAGTGATTAGACGTTTTGTTGGCCAACAGTCTACATAATTATGGTTTGCTAACATGAGCGAACCAACTATTGTGAAAAAATGCTTATATCCACAGACACCCATTCATTTATCATAACACGTGTGTGCTACTTTTGGGCGGCTATATATTTCAGCTGCCAGCTGTCATTCAATTTGGTTTAGTTGTATTCAGGGGAAAATCAACGTAAAGACCTTGGTTAGTGTTCATGCTGACCGGTTTTTGGCATCAGATGTTTAACTGATATGCGATGAGTTGTCATCAAACAATTTTGTATTCTTTTCGAGCATTTAAGATCAGATGACCTGGATAAATACACATAGTCTGCTTAGATTGCCGTATCATAAACACGTGAACATGAAGTTGTAAACATGAAGAAGTCGATATGAGCTCGAAATTCTAATAGGTAGACACTAACAAAACGCTCAAAAGGAAACTAGCACCGGAAAACTCTACTTTTAAAGATTCCACTACGTAATAGCGCAGTTTTGCAATCTTCTTACACTTGACAAAAATGCTGAACTGAATAACTGTAAGCATATGGAAATGAGATGTGCTCTTTCATCAACAGAGTGTACCTGAATGCTTGTAGTCCAAGCATGTTACGGTAGTGCAACGAGTCATTTTATACTGATCAACAAGATTCAACCAGAAATGCGGACCAATATAATAGCGAGATTTGGAAATATCCTGAAATTAACTCAAACCGCTGATCAGGGGTACTCAGCAATCAATAGGATAGAGTGTGATGCTCTATCTCATTGCTTGGCATATGTTAATTATTGTAGTCTTGCTGAGTGAACAACCCTGTTACGCGTTTAAACAATCCACCAAGATCAATAAAGTCTTGTCTAGAATAGCTGATGGCATTATTGATTGATCACTGAGATCAACTAGCGAATGTTCAACCAGTAAATCAGTCTGATTCTTCTTAATTCAAAATTTTTTTCATTCATGTAGGTTACGTGAATTCTACGCTCAATCCAATCATTTATGCGATTTTCAACCAAGAATTTCGAATACCATTCAAGCACTTGCTTCTCTGCCACTGCCGAGGAATTAATGCACGATTGCGTTCGCAGCGTTACGCAATCGAGTTTGGATTAGGAGCTTCTACTGCCAGCTGCTTGCCACCACAACATCCTGGAGTTGGCGAGAACAATGGATTTCCGGTCAGTACTGTGGCAACAAAGCTTCCTCGCTCCAATAGCTCTGTTGGAGCCCGGAGACCAACGGTAGATACTGCAAGCAATTACGCTCAAATCGATCCAAAGTCTAGCCCGTACATACTTCAGTTGCCCGACTGATTTCATTTAAGCCCGGTAAACACCAGAGGTGTATTGCACATTTTTGCTACGAGTAAAAGCGTCCAATATGTTTACTTGAAGTTATTTTTCGTTCAGATTTACCGGTTTTTCCCATAAGTCAGTGCTACGTTATATCCACTCATGGCGAACAGTTGACTTACCTGTATCATTTCGATTTCGGTCCGGAAAAGGCACGAAAGTGAGTTTTCAAATATACTGTCAAATATACACCGGTCAGTTATTCAAAGCTGTATAACGTATACTGCGAAAAGTTAAACGGACATCTTTGTGTGCAAATACACGTTTTACAGATACCGCTTTTCTTCAAGATTTCTCTATCTGCTATTATCAAGTTATATTCGCTCTTTTGAGGAAACTGTTTATTATCCCCCTTTTTCAGACAAGTTCAAGGATCTCTGTTGTGCAGTAATCATTCGCGCGTTCAGTTGCATTTATGAACACATTCGAAACAATATCTTGCCAATACAGTGCAAATAATTCTGCTTTTTTCTTCTCAAGCTGACTGCAGCAGCAGGCAGTGTTACCAGTGCTGCATCCATGTTTAATCAAAATTTGCGTGACACGGAAGTAGTGGTACTGCTCCCTCTGCAGCCTGCTTTAATCAATGACCATTAACGTGTACCACAGGAAACCAAAAACATTATGCTTTCAGCTAAATGACCGACCAACACAGAGTACCGCAGTTTGAAAAAACCATTTGGGTCTGAACTTCCGTCTCTCACTGCGGGCGTCGCATGTGTCTGTGGAGCTAAAATGTTGTACTTTTGCATGATTCTATTCAGCCTGGCTTTTTTCGGTCAAACTGTTTGGAAAAATTATCACTGCACCCAATGAGATATGGTTTGTTGCATTGATTTTCTGAAATCAATATCTTTCTTCTGACTTTCCAGTAGCATGTGATTTATGAAGCGAACTGCACAGAACTATAAACTAAAAAATATGACCTAACTAAAGTGCGTCATCAACTAATCACTTGGATCTAAAAAAAGGGACTTGAAGGTACATCTATTCCATCCACTTCTTACACACGTATCTAGGGAAATAATTTATAACTTATTCAACGAAGTCTCTAAGTATGTAGGGTGTTGATGTGTTCCAAAAAATCATCGAAAGTTGAGTGAATAGTAAATGAATTCTAGGTTTTTGATGAGATACTGGTGAAAATAGTATGGGAAGTATGAGAACAAAATAGAACAGAATGTAAATTTGGAGTGTAGTAAAAATCAGATGCTGATGGAATAGTAAGTTTAAACCTCACACAAACTGGCCAAAGGGCTTTGTTGGAAACTAAGGCGTTGAGTATATATGCTTGGGGTTTCGGGGAGTAAATTATTTGCAAGAAAACAGTTTTTGCTCGGAGTGTGATAAAAATAGACGTTGGAGAACTACAGAGAATCTGAAATCGAAACAGGCACGAATAGAAAGCAGTCGGTCCGTTTACGTATGAAGGGCAGCGTATCATCTGCTCCTGCCTTCAGATATCGCCACATGTTATACCCGACAGGAGTTGTCCCAATTCTGTATCGTCAAGCGTACTGCGTAGCTGCCCGAGATAGAACTATTAGCGGCTGGATAGATTTGACGGATTTCTCCGCGCACAGATGTACATGTTCAGATTTTCATCAACAAAAACTGCCAACGGTTAGGTTAGAGACCCGGCTGCATGTTTCTGCTATTCCAGTGGGTGCTTGCATTGGCTGGACAAGTGGGCACTCCAGTTCAGACATAGAATAAGTCACAGTTCTTAAAGAACAGTACGATGTCCCTCATCAGTTCCATCTAGAGGGAGTAGGCGCTAATTTGTTCACCTCTGTTGTATTTCAGAAACTACGTTTACCACACGTTCACATTTACATTTAGTTGGCCAATCAGTATCCGAAAGTTATTCGTATTAATGGCAGAATAGGAATAGAAAAAAGATTCCTTTTAAGCTGATGCATTCGCACAAATGACACATCAGTTTACTATTTTTCGCGAATTCCCTAAAGTCGGAAGATTTAGACAGCTTTTTGTCGCTTCTGTTTGGTTATCGAACAAGTATTAGACCTTTAAAGCTTACAGTAATGGCATTTCCTTCAGGGCCACCAGTGTGAATTCCGATATCTGTACCGTGTTGTCCAGCCACAATTATTGCAGGGTGTCTTCAGAAATTAAGAGATGCACGTTTGTTACATCAGTAGGACCACCGGTGTAGGTGAAGTCCCGTTTGGCAGGGAGACCACGCATTACAGGTTCACTTTGAACTACGCCCGAAAATGGCCCCGTGGAAAGGCAGTGTTACGATGAATCCGAGCAGTCGATTATTGGTCGTAGTGTGTAATGGTACTTGTGAACTTTATTTGTTCCATCGTCTGCCAGTCCCTCTGGAATCTGGTGGAGCAAACTTAGGCGCGCACTGATGATATGTCTTCCAGTGACGACAAAATACTTGCGCGGAATACCTCGAAATGGATTTCGACGTGATTGTTTGCAAAAGATGAGGGTGCTTAAAAGCATTTTGACAAACCGTGAATGAATCCAAATGGAAATCAATGTAATTCATCCGTCATTATGGTTTAAACCTGATTGAACGTAATTTTTCACAAATTTAGGTATGCGTCAGTAAAATTCCGTCTATGGTTTTTCCTCGGTGTGACAAGCTGTCGTTTGTGTGATTCATCAAAAGGCAAAGCTGTTTATTAGTGATAAACTAAGAACCCGACTTTTACCTTTTCTACAGGACACAACTCAGTTTTATGGCCTTGTGTGGAGTTACTCTGGTGAAACCCGTCGAATAAAAACACGTAGATGAGCTACCTATAAACCTGTAAATAACATCAATAGAACATGAATACTGGAGATGAGAATTCACTGTTTCAAGTATCACTTTCGCCTTCCGCCAAATAATCTTCTCAGCTACGGTAAAGTGAAATCATTCGACAGTCAAACAGAAATTATCTACAACGCTATCTTTTAGACATCCTATAGATACCCCAAGGACACTGGAGAACAAGCTTGTTTTTCCGCAAGCAAGTCAGACATCCAATACAGTTTGTTTTTATCGCTGAGCTGCGCCGTGAAAACTTTGTAACTGCTTCCATTTTTACAGACAACTAGCGTCAAATTATGACAGTTAATCGAACACACTTAAGAATGGGCGGTCAGTACCAGAGAGAAAACAGATGTCTTTATCTCTTCTACAGCATATAATTATACGACAATATTCAACAGTTTTGTTGTAGAGGTTCCACGAAAGAATCGTTTAATGTCACTCCGTTTGCGGAAACAGTAAAAAACACAGTAGGTATGAAGACGTGTTTTATTATATTCTAAAACGCACCCTTAATTTATACTCTTCTTCCACGGTGTGAATCGGGCCCAGCATCTGTGCAGGGATGATAGTAGTTTACTGTTCCAACAAACCGGGTTCAAACCTATAGGAGCGCGAAAAACTAGGCCCCTGTAGTGACTTCAAAAGCCCAAAAGATGTAATACTAAAGGGCTTGGGCAAGCCTCCTGAAAATTATTACATTGTTAATTCAAGCAATTTGTTCATCTGAGACCTGTTTGGTGTGCTCAGATCGGCTTGGAAGCTGCCAGCGTTACCAAACAATATCGACTGTGCCTAAGAAGACAGTGCTGGATCTGACGTTAAGTTTAAATAGCATTATTAAGATGATTGGGTGATATTGTGACATCAAATGCAGTCAGGTATAAATATATCATATCACCGGTCATATAAAATTCAAAAGTCGCTCTTAACTGAAGAAAAATATCAGGAAAATGTAGTCCATAATCAATAGAAATCTTGAGAAATATAGCACTTCGGACCGCGATCGAAACAGCTTGTTCTCAACATCTCGGGTTAATGTGACTAGGATACAACAAACCAACTCATTCCTATTGTGAAGAATACTCTTGATGAGAGTGTAATACGTTGTCAGAGATTTACGTCGATAGTGGATCATACTGAGAAGAGCCGTTTTTTGACGCTACTTTTTAATTTATTTTAATGAATGTTCAAAAAGAAACCATGGTGATGAATACAAGCAACTAAATAACTCAAAATTCAGTGACATTGGTAGTAATATTTTATTTCAGAGGTGGGATCATGGTTCACGTTCACCAAAATATGTATGGTTGCTCGGCTTCATTGTTATTTACTTTTCGGATGCCCCTTACAACTCACCATGCTTCAACAATGTCTGCCGCGCTGGGTCCATTTTCACATTCATACATCTTTTACATCCGTCAAAACCCTGAACCAAAATAGTGTTGTTTTTTTAATCGCGGGTAGTTTTAATGTTGCTATATATAAAAGAATGAATCATGTATATTGTTAGATAATACAGTGAGATGATGCGGTATACTATAAACAATAAGCTATTTCTCTATATGGGCCTGAAGATGTGAACCTGGTCAAGAAAACAAAATCCGTTTGCCATAAATCGGATCTGAAATTGTGGTTAAAACCGCGAACAGGAGCGGCAGTCAATGTGTAGTGTTTTTCTTGAGAGCCATCATGTGATTTACTCATAAACTCCACGGTGGGCAGTAACCCCACAGACAACGAGGTGATTCCACGAGTTCAGTAGGTCAAAATGTTTGTAATCATTTATTTTTGAAGAGCATTGTCACAAACGTAAAAAGTGAATGCAAGCGATGAATGCCAAATGGCAACAGGAGAACATGGAAGAAAACAGAGAAACGTCTCATTCGAAATCATGCCATGTACGGTTCCAGTCTGCTGAAATGAATCCCGAAGAATGTAAAAATTTCGATATGGAAACACGCGTCTAAAGACCAACAACTGAAGAAAGGACAATGTTAAATGCTCTTCAAGGCGCGGTAGGCGCTAGCACAGTCGAGACTCGAACATCAGTCACAGTGTCTCACGCTAGGTCTGGCGTGAGATTAAATGGCAGAAATACACATTCAACGCCATGTGCCACGCATAAAAGTTTCATAAGTACGCAAAGAGACCACAATGGCAGGCAAACACGAGTCACTGACTGCGACCATAGGAAGTCACAGTTCCATAACAGCCTTAGCGGATTGAGGAAAGCAAATCCCTCGATAAGAAATGATCATCGGTTGGTGAACCAAAAAGTCGACATCACAAACGATTGTATGTAGGGCTGAGATTATGGCGAGGGAATATTCGTCAGCACCATACTTCTGCTTCTTCTTATTCCGCATAGTCACTCCACTCCCATCCGAGACTATGCTGACGTCTATTACAGTTGCACGGCGACCTCGAGCAGCGATTTGGTCAGGTTTGATGAAGGACGTAGAAGTGGGTGCTCTCAACTCCTCGAAGACGGTGTACTCCAGTCGACGGAGACGGCTTGCGAGTTGCCGAATATGACGAGCACATCTCGCATCATGCGTGATCCAGCAGGATTGCAAAATACGCACCAGACTCTCCGGTTGGCCACAGTTTCCACGACATAAGATCGTCTGGCCACAATGACCATGCCGAGCGCTTCTAACTCTCGTCCTAAGCAGGTTGAATCGGAGCTGGATACCGCGGATAAATATCCGAGGAAGCAGTCATTCTGGAACTACGAGCCATCGATTCGGGAGAGGCGAAGTGACCAACTCTCGTAAACCGCGACCGTCGGCGCTGTTGAGCAAACTATCACCCCATGCAGCCACCAGCTCTTCCTTGGTGTTTACGTATGCACCATGAACTCGGATTGTAAGGCTATGATCCCGAACAATTTTGCCAAATGCGGAATCGTTGACCACATTGCGTAGTACTTGGCACTGAGTAGAAAGGAGCTTTCCATACGCGTTCTCCGCTGCACATGTTTGGTGATATGTGTGACCATCGATACACGCTGAGTTTTGAAATAAGCCACATTT